CTGTAACGGAATACAGTTACTCATATTTTGTATTTTAAATACGTAACGGCGGTACATGTATTCCGTTACTCCCCAACACTGCAAGTGGCTAATGGTCAATGGGCCTCATTCACAAATATTAGTGTGGAAACATTTTTAATTGGTGCAAAAAATGAGTTTTGCATGCAAATTTACTGTAGCATTTATAAAATACGAGTATCAGGCTAGTAAATCAGAATCATTCGGGACCAGCTCACAATATCCATACACGGAGATGATTTATCTGAATTTCAGCAGTGGGATAACATCTCCATACACACCCCCTCTGGTTCTCGGTCTATACATGACCACCCCCGGCACTACAAGTTGTTTGTTCTTGTTTTGCACCACCCTCCCTCCCTTTTAAATACATTCACCACTCATTAGTACGTGGGGATCTGCCCGGCCAGGGAGCCTCGGCCAGTCCCCTCTGAGACCTTCCCCACACCGCAGCCTCAATTCATACTCAAGCCATCTGCCATTATCTGCTAGAAATGCTGTCAAACCTAAAATGAGGATGTGGTCCAAGCTAGTGAATTGCATTTTATCAGTGCCTCCATTAATCTCCATTAATAGGTGAAGTAGAAAACATGGTGACTGAGATGAGGTGGGAGCCAGAAGAGGTGCAGCTTTCTAAAGTGTTTCCACAGGAGTGACCATCTTTCAGTCATTTCACCTGAGACAAGAACAATGTGGAATCAAAGTTGATAAGAAAAGATTGGCAAACAACAAGAAAGGAAGGAAGAAAACAGGTGGAGGACAAGGATCATGTGACCTGTCAGCCCCAGATGAGAGAACAATAAGAGCCAGATTATCCAGCATTCATGGGATAGTGCCAAAAACATATTCTATGAGTGACATTCAGCAATGATAGAAGTCATTTGTAATGAAAGATAAGAACATTTAAGATACAATAAGATGAGATAAGGGACAGTGGAATATGTTTAAATGGAAAAAGGTTAAATATATAAATTTTTTCTTTATATTTATTTATTTTTATTGCATTTCTGAGCATTTACCATATTGTGAAAACTGTAAATAATGACCAAAATTTGATAGCAGAATAATATTAATATAGCAGCAGCAGCTGTAGCAATAGTGTTAATTGTAAATACTTGTGTTTATATTCCTAAGTAAGCCAGGCTGTCGTTTGTTTGTATGCATGGTCAGAGGGACTGTACAGAAAAATTCAGGTATGAAATATGAACAAATCTGTGTGTGAAACATTCATACGCACAATTAATGTGCAGATATGCGAGTCTGCAGCAGGAAATGAGGCTCAAATAAGTTTATCAGTCTATCAGGTTTATCGTGTTTTTTCTTTTAACTAAATAAAAAGCTGGTGAAAAGTATGTGTAAGAAAACAAATAGAAAAACCACAAACAAAACAAAATTTTTTTCCAAGGAAGGCAAATAATGAATGACAAGATGCCGAGATCAGCAGCTCCATAGGTCACGGAACAGGGATCAACCCTGGACACATTTCAGTGGTCTGTGCTGTTTGCAGGACGGTTTTTCTATTGTATGCATGTGCTGTCAAACTGATGTTGTTTTGTCAAGTTGCACTGAGCTCTTTTGACAAACTATCGTTTTGTTTTTAAACACAGGAATATGCTCAGTGCTTTTTGAAACCCGTATGGGCTGCATGAATGAGGTGATCCCCGAGAAAACCCAAAAGTTCATTGTCTCCGTGGGGGAAATGTTCCATCTCTCCCAAGTCGTCATCCTCTTCCCACAGTTCCTCTGGCCCTACCTGAAGTCCTGGAAGAGGTTTGTCGCAGCCTGGGATCATCTCTTCAAAGTTGGTGAGCAACATTAATTTTTAACCAGTAAATAAAAGTGTGGTGTGGTGGTAAATTCACTGCTGAATATTTATCCCCTTTCTGCCATTATGTGATTTCTAAAACCACTTTGAAACATTTTTTTCTGTTTTAGTGCAAAAAAACCAAACACCTTTCAGGCTTTTTGTTAAATATTCATGATTTAAAATTGAAAAGACTTTTCTAGTTGTCAGAAATCTGTAGGATTTAATTCATGGAAACATTACCTACTCCCTATTCCATACTGGTTGTGGATCACCGAGGTTAGTTCAGTTCATGGACATTTTCAAGTAGCACTATCAGCTAATTTCAAGGTCAGCACACACAACACACACAAAGAGACAAAGTCCACCCTACATGTGGCATTTCACACAATCAGTGTGCTATCAAGATCCCTAACTGTGTCTCTTTCCCCATCTAATGGGCAAACATGTCTTCTCACAGTCTTTTTCTTTTAATTTCACATGAGATAAGATGATGTTGTTTCTCGTAGCTGAAGAACTGGTGAATAAGAAAATTGAGGAGATCCAGGAGAATGTCCACCTGGACAAAGACGTGGAGGGAGCGTATCTCACACACCTCCTGCTCAGTGAACAGATGAGCAGCACAGAGATCCTGGGCAGCATCACTGAACTCCTCCTGGCAGGAGTAGACACAGTGAGTAATAGCTACACCGCTCCGTCATTCCCAATTCCCAAAATCAATTTGTTTGCATTAAAGTGTCTCCCATTATTCGTTTAGCCTTCCAGGTTTCCATTTTCCCAGAGCCACTTAATAAGAACCGTTTTCCTTTATATAAAAACAACCCACTACCACTCACCCTAGATAGAGACACAGTTATTGGGAAACAGTTTTACTTCTTCTATTCTACTTCTAATTTCTATATTGCTGACAGTGGAGCTGCTAACATGTTGGTTAATTTAAGTTTCCTTTTCTCTCTTTTCAGTTCCACCTTTTTGCTTTTTGTTTGTTCCTCTTTGTTAAACACTTCTTTCACATTAACTCTGTTCTACAAGGTGCACGAGTGCACAGGGAAGGTAGGGGAGGGGCCAGCGGTGTGACCAGAATCGACTGGGCATTGTATTGTCAGTAATGAAAATGAACTAATGGGCTACTGTGCACAATGCACGGTGCACAGCAGCCCATCAAGCCAGCCTGTATAGTTATATTGACAAAGAAAAAGAGAACTATACTGACCTAATTGTGGAGGCCCATCAGGCAGATTACCAGTCCAACCTTGGAGTATAGCTCTCAGCTACAAGTTAAGAGATAATTTTTGAACATATTAAAAGTCTTCTTAAAGTCAAAGAATGCATATAAAAACAAGAAGTTGAAGTTGACTTAGAAAACCAGTTGTGCTTTTCCACATGGAGGCTGATTTTCTCTAAATATACTCTACTATACACAGTGTTGGGGAGTAACGGAATACATGTACCGCCGTTACGTATTTAAAATACAAAATATGAG